ACATTCATTATCTCATTTGATCCTCATAATTCTGTGGGCTAGACAGGTATTCCACAGGTAAGGAAAAAGAGTTAGAGAGGTAGTTAGTACTTTGCTAAATAGCCCTGCAAGTAAATAAGAGAATTCATTATTATCTTACAATGGAGCAATGCTAGTGATTCTCGCTAGTAATTTAATACAGAGCCTGCACGTAACCAAATAGCAAGTGCCCACATGCACACTATTACCCCAGCACCAAAACAAAGCTAATCCTAAAAGGTATCCACTGACCACAAGGATATTATATCATACAGAAAAAAGGAGAGCACAAATAAATCCCTAAAATGAAAGTATTTTTCTCTCCAAAAGAGAGCAAAATAAAATGTATGTTTTTAATAAATGCTTTCTTTAAATTATACATAGAAAATACACCTAGGTAAAAGCAGCTGGAGTGGGAGAGGTCACAGGAATGAGTTAGCAGAATGGTAAGAAAGATAAGGAGGCGCAAATTTGTTCACATAAACAGTGAGAACTAGTCAACTAGCTTTGTCATTTATTCAATCAATATTAGTCGTATAAGTCATTGCCCAAGGTACTCTAAGAAATACTATTATGAATAGGAAAACTTCTTGCATTCAAGCAGCTTACAGCCTAGTTGGGAAGATAATACAGACATACAGATAAAACATTCATTGATTCAACATTTCCTGAGTGGTTACAGGAAGGCACTAAGTTTGACACAGTGAGAAATACAAAGATGAATGAAACAGAGCCTTAGCCCTCCAGGGAGTAACAGTCTGGTAGAAAAGATAACACCGTTATGCAGGTTTTGAATGGCGAACACGAGAAGTGTTACAGAAGTGGTCCAAATACAACGCTATTTTCTCCAAAGGGGGAGAAATGATTCCTAACTGGGCGTTTGGGGAAAACAGCAAGTAGACATTTGAAATAAATGGGATGCAGGATTTGGGTACCCACTGATTGGAGAGGACAGACATTCTAAGTGAAGGTCAAATGTATGTAAAGGCAGAGACTTTGGAAAGTAAAGGGAGGAGAGAGGGGGCAGTGAGCACATAAGGTTTTTTCAAAGGGTACCGAGGTTATGTGAAGGAGTTTAATGGGAAGGAGAGGGAAATCAACTCACAGAGAGACTCAAATGGAGTCTAAAGAGCTTATGTGGGTATGATTTCCTTCATTAAGTAGTAGATAATAACAACAATAAACAAACACATAGAGACAGAGATTGGATTGGTGGTTACCAGAGGGGGGAGGGAGGAGGGCGAAAGGGATAATTCGGCACATGTGTGTGGTCATGGATTGTAATTAGTATTTGGGTGGTGAACATAATGTAATCTATGGAGAAATAGAAGTATAATGATGTACACCTGAAATTTATACAATGTTATAAACCAATGTTACTGCAATAAACAAAAAATTTTAAAAAAAAAAGAAAAAAAAGAGCTTATGTGGTTTATGGGATGTGAGATATAACAAAAGGTAGAACATAGAGTATCTTAAACGAGTTCTCAAGTCAATGATAAGAGGAAAGGAAAATTAGGTTCATAATTAGAGAACAAATAATTCAGTTAGGCCTAAAAAGGTAGATGATTCTGATAGGCTGTTCCAGATTATATAAACTGATGACAGCCATGATTCTAGCCAGGCCAGCAACTCTTTGGTTGGAGCCCTTCCCCCTAAATCCTGCGAGCTGGCTCAATTTTGGTATTTCCTTAGATATGTCAGCTATGAAATGATGCTGGCCTGAATAAAATCAAACCTCAGGAACTAAGCCTTTAACAAACACACACACACACACACACATAAAATCACATGTACCCCTTCCCCCAAGTCCCCCTCACACCCTAATAGCTGCAATTCTGAGAGCCAGTGTGCCTGGAAACTAGCCAAACAGCCAAGACGAGCATGATCAGCCCAAAGATAATACTGGTCTTTCCAAGAATCATTTACGGTTCTACTCCTAAAGGCCAAAGGAGACTGCTCCTAGACTGCCTCCAGACCTTCCCTGGAATGCACGAGTTAAAGAGGCTCAAAGCAATCTCTCAGGAGTCAAAAAAAAAACGGAATTGAATATAGTAAACACCAATATAGACCATTGGATGGATACTCATCAAACAGGGGTGAACAGGTTTAGGCATAGTTACAGATAAATTTATTTTTTATCAGAGATCACCTAGATTAGAATAATTTCAACCTAAATGAGTTTGAATGGACTTAAACTAAATTTAGAAAGTCAATGAGTCAAACATTGTTGGGTTCTGTATTAAGGCAGCTTGATGCAGAGGTGAAGAGCATGAGCTTTAAACTCAATCAGAACTCATATGAACCTCAGTTATGAACCACTGTAACTGTGTGACCTTGGGAAAGTTACCTAACCTTTCAAAGATTTAAGAAAATAGGTATAACACCTGTGATAATTAACATAATTAATATATGGAAGACTATCTTAAATGGCAGTTTATTAATAACAGCAAATCATCATGGTACCAATTTATACAGAAATCGACTGTCCCTAAAGAATCAGTGCTTTCTATTGACTTTTTTAAATTATAAAAATATACATGCTACTATAGAAAATATTGATAAACAATAATTTTACTTCCATAGTCCAGAAGTAAATAAGTTTGTGTATTTTTAAAAGCATCTTTGGTACCTGGCCTTATTTTTTTAATGGATCAGACTTGAAAAGTGAAATACATGTTAAGTTTCTATAGTAGAATTATAGAACACTAGAAGTTTCATTTTCAGATTTCTTTCCCTTAGGCTATCTTGACTGGTCTACAAGGAGTCTTATTTATTCTTCAAAGCTTGGCTCCAGGACATGTTTTACAATCCCCCTCAAACCCGTGTTCTCTCCCTCCTTTGATCCCCCACATCATGGTTTAGATCTCATACAGCACTTCTCACACTCTGCGTTCTACCTACCCATGCTCTTTCCTTACCAGCCACTCCCTGCCCTTCCCCTTGCTCTACCTCCTAGAGCTGGGCTTTTAACCTGAGGACTGTGAACCTCCTGAAATTATACATAAAAATCGTGTTTCTGTAGGTACAAATACATTTTCTTGGAGAGAATCCTTATATTCATCAAATTCTCAAAAAAGGTCTGAGACTCAAAAAAGGTACAGAACTCTAGTTTAGGGAAAAGACTTGTGATTTAACTATCGATGGATTCTCCACAGTGCTTAGCATCTACCTTTATATGGATAAATACTTGTTCATTTAAAATTTTATTAATAAATCATAAAATCAATGTTAGGTTCTGGTGCAATGAATCTTTTAAAATATATTTTCCTCATTCTCCATTCCTTCATCTTAATATTAAAAAAATACTATTTCTGAAAGGAGAATGGTGGTTACTAGGGGTTAGGGGAGGAGGGAATTGAGAGTTATTATTTAATGAGTACAGCAGTTTCAATTCGGGAAGGTGAGAAAGTTCTGGAGATGGAGAGTGGGGATGGCTGCACAACAATGTGAATGTACTCTATGCTACTAAACTATTACGTATATTTTACCAAAATAAAAAAAAATATTGCTTTTTATTCCCCTATAATATTAATCACCCATTACAGGGCAGACTCTTCAACACAGGAAAGGAATAGAGAAATACACTTGTTAAATTTTAAGATACAAGAAAGAATTCCCCCAAGGAGAAGCAAATCTTAACCCCAATCTACACATTGTTGGGTTTAGGGTACAGGCACAAATTAAAAGAGGGTGATATAATCACAAATCCTGTCCAAACAGAGGGGCTGTTATCTGAGTAAACAAAGGTAAATTGCTGAGGACATCAGTTTATCTGTGTGAAGTAAATTAAAATTTTTCAAGGTACCAAGTCACAACTCAAGGAATAAATGATAATTTAGCCCCACCTTTAACAATGTATTATCCACATGAATAATGTAAGCATCTTGGAAGCCTACAACAGGCATTTCAAAGTGCAAGGAGCACATTTTATTCAACAAACATTTAGTGAGTATTCTTAAGATTTAGCAATATAAAAGTCCCAAAACTACTTAAAAGAAAAAGCAGGCTATATACTACGCTGATAACAAAAAGGATGAATTATCTTCCTATGTTAACTTTACTTGACTCCCATCTCATACTTTATAGCTTCCCTTACCAAAGAAAAAGCTTCAGACTCCATTAAGGTTACAAATATATTTAACATCAAAAATATTCATATTAATGATGCTATATCGATATTTCAAAACAATGTATATATCTCATCAAAAACCTAGATTCTAAACCTTTTGATGATTAGATATCAGTGATATCTCTCGGTTATTTATTACAACAAATAATTGATTTGCAAGACATTTAAAAATTCCATTATTTTCCCAAAAGTCCTTGGGAAAGGACGTTTCCCAAGGCAATTTCCCAATTTAAGAGAGATTTACAACTATTTCTCCAGTGGAATCTAGGAAAATCCTTAGAAATAGATTCAACATAAAAGCTAACTAATAATATTTTAATTCCAAATTGTAAAAAAGATATCCACTACCATATTGAAGTATTGTGTATTTGATGTAAGCTAATATGTTTATTGATCTTGACTTTAACATTAAATAATTAGCAGAACATAAAATTTCCATAGTTGTATTTACCAAAAAGCCAAATTTTCCTCACATTTATTCTCATTCAGTATTTATTCAATAAATATTTACCAAGTGCCTGCCATGTAGCAGGTGCTATGCCGTAGGTGCTGGACAGCTGTGAATAAAACAGCCATGTTCTATCTATATAATACTGAAGTATATAATACTGAAGTGCTACTGCTGTTCTAGAACCCAGACTTACATCACCACCTTTTCAAAGTGTCTTCAGGCTTTTGTAAACATACTCATTCTGGTAATATTTTGAAAAATTCAATTTAAGAATCTGATCTCTAAAGGGAAATTCCCTCTCAGACACAAAAATGTTTGCCTGTCATGGAGTTTGTTTTTCTGTATGGCAATAGCAAAACATCAAAGATAGCCCAAATTACTTTAAACTTGAAGATTTACCTGAAATAGGAATATTCTGTGAGACTGATAACTGTACATCTCCGGTTCCTGGTGGCATGTCAACAACCAAATAGTCCAGCTGACCCCAATCTACCTAAAAACCAAGACGACACAAACATCATTGTATAACAACTGCAGTGAATAGTGATGTAAACAAAAATAAATGTATGAAGAATAAATCTAAAATAATAACTTTCACTTGAGCCATCACTAAGTGCCAGGGGCTATGCTGAGGGCTAATGATAAACAGAGGGATAAGAGACAGTCCCTGCCTCTAGCGGACCTTCTCTGAATGATGAGGTTAAATTTCAAACGCCCCCTCTCCTCTGTCCCGCTACCCCCCCCACACACACACACACTCTCACAAACAGTGAACCCATTTCACAATGGGCTTCTATTCAGGACTCATCATTCATTTTCACTGGGAATAGCCTATATTTTACCTAAGAAGGCCTTAGCTTTTTGTCTTTTGGGTTTTTTGGTACAGCATTTCCTACGGCAGAGCCTAATATAATTTTTCAGTTTATCATTTTTCCTTCATAAAACACACGAATAATGAAAACCAAAACTTAATAATAAGAAAATTTTAAAATTTAACTAGAGTTTCAATACTATTAACATCTTGATATTTATTTCCAGGCATTTTTCTAAGTATCTATACCTAGAAAATTCAGCTATATAACCAACTCCCTAATGCTCAGCCTCAATTTAGATGGGTCTCAAGAGTTCCTCAGACTCTTCTCCTCATATAGTTCCTCCCTCTGAGTCCCCAGTCTCAGTGAAGGGCCCTAGAATTCACTCAGTTGCCTAAGGCAGAAGCCCAAAATCATACCTAACTCTTCTCTTTCCCTCACTATCCCCAGTCACTTATTCTGCCTTCTAAAAATCTCTCAGAAGTATCCACTTCTCTCTTTCCCCACTGCCAAGAACCCAACAAAGGCCACAACTATCTATCACTAAAGCCTCCCAACCAATCTCTCTGCCCCAGCATTGCCCGTCCAGTCAGATCCCAAGACCACTGAAAAACAGTCCATCTAAAATGCAAGTCTGATAATGCCACTTTTCTGTTTAAAAGTCTTTTATTGCTTTTAGGATAAAGTCTGAGCTTAAGCTCCAGACCATTCTGTGTGGTCTTCTTCACTTGCTAATTTCTTCTCATTCTTCAGATCTCAGCTTGAAATTTACTTCCCCTAACTTCCATTAGATTAGATATTGTGTTCCTACTATGTACTTCTCCTAATCATTCATTGGTTCATTCACCCAACAAATGTTTATTGAGACCTACTATATGTAGGCATTGAGCTAGGTATTGATAATTAAATGATATCATGGTCCCCCAGCCTCACAGAATTTACAATATGGAGGGAGATAGATATTAAGCACATAATGAAATAACCTGCGTAAAGGAAAGAAGTTATTAAGTGTGAGAAACTGAAAGAAGATCAACATATCCAGAGAGCAGTGAGTGAGGGGAAGGGCGGCATTCATTTATTGCTGTTTCATGATCTGTCTTCTCATGAAACTGTATTTGAGTTAGAATAGCTCCTACAGAATGGACACACAGGACATGCTTAACAAGTTTTCTTTCAAGGAATGAATGAATAAATTAACACATGCAAACGTTCAAGATTTTTTTTAACCTAAGTGGAAATCATGCTGTGTATATAATCCCATATCCTGCTTCTTAAAACTTAATAATGTGAAATAGGCCTTTTCCATATAATCATATATTTTTAAAAATTAAAGTTTAGATGATACTGGGTCAAAAAGATTCATTCATGTACTAACACATTTATTCAACACATACTTATTGAGAATCGATTAGGTGCCAGGCACTGTTCCAAGTGATGGGGATGGAGCAGCGAACAAAACAAAGTCCCAGACCCCATGGAGCTAACATTTTAGTGACGGAGACAGACAGAAAGAAAAACAAATCAGAGCACAAAAAGTGCTATGAAGAAAACAAGTATCTCCTACTATACAAAATTATTTGGTTCTTGATTTGGATATTCAGATCAAAGAGCAAGAGATATTTTTAAAATCTCTTCAATTCCTGAATTTCAGAGAGCAAGTAGTAAGAGTCCAGATAGCAAAGGATTTATAAAAGAATTTCTTTGAATCTCTTGGTCAGGGTGAAGAATACTTGAAGGGTAGGGAAAACAAATAGACTGGTGGAACGTGCTCCCTCAGACAGGGTGATCAGAACCCTGAGGCAAGTGAGAAGAGAAGTGAGTAGTGCTAAGGAAAGCATTCCAGGCGGAAGAGACAGCAAGTGCTAAGGCTCTACAAAATCGGACATGCTTGGTACACTCAAGGACTAGCTAGGAAATCAGTACAGTCTTTCTAGAATAACACTTCCCAACCATCGATCTCTCCTTCTCTGACTTTGTTTTTCTTCAAAACATTTACCAGTATCTGATATTATATAGTGTTTGAGAAATATCATAGAATTCCTAAAAAACAAGTACTTGATACTGATTTAATGACACATTTTAAGAGGATGATGAAATGATGAACATAAAGTAGCTCAATTTCAATATAGAGTTCTTTGGTTTGAAAAATAGTTACCCCAAAGTTACCCACGGCCACCATCTATGAAACTATCCTCAGAAAAGATAAAGGATACTTTTCATTTTATATTCTCTGCACTGAAACTCAGCACTGGCAGACTGACAAGCCTCTTTGTTTCAGAGAACATCAAATGACTGGTGCCAACAATTTATCATTGTTGTTCCTCCGCATTTAATCATATTTATCATGTTGGCTCCAATTTCTTATTTCTTTAAAGAGAACTGCTATTAAGGTTCCAAGAAACTAAAAATACTTCACTGTTAAGGCGATTAATTTCAAATGACTCTTAAAATTGAATTTAAACTATCTGAAAAAAAGAACCTGGCCCAGCACCTCCATCACACACAGCAGGCATCCCATGGAGGCTTGTTGACTTGAACGGAACTGAACTGAAGTCAGTATCCGAGTTTCAGTTTTATAGCATTCACTAATACTAACACTGAAATATATTGGCTGCCAGGAAGTTCTAGTTCTCTTATAAAAGAGTCACTAAAGCATTGATTTTATAATGATTTGGGGATTCTCTAGATTATACTTAGTGTTTGTTTACTCGTATAAATTATGTGTTACTAAATGTAGGGAAATAAGTACTATCAAAACACCCAGGTATCTCAATTAGTAAAACCCAGTGGCAGATCCAGATTTCATGTGGCCTGAAGCATATTCCATTTGGATGGTCCTAAGAATAAGAATAAAAAATTAGGAATTTCAAATTAGGTACAAAAGTAAATATTTATTTATAATGTGAAAAAAATCACCATGAAATGCTGGTGCCTTAGAGATTCAAGTTCCTTTCTCTGAGATCTCTTGAACAACGGAAATGCCAACATAGAAATGCTTCCTGACCGCAATCTGCTTCCTCTCTCCACCTAGAACATTCTACAACTCCCAGCATCTCACAGAAGCCCACGCAAGTGTGGAATCCTGAGCTGAAGCTTCATTAGCATCATGAGAATCCCACCTCTGGTAAAAAATTTCGCAGCTCCCTCTTAGGCTCCAGACTTAAAGGATGCCAGTAAAACAGACTGAATCAGCCTAGAAGTGAAGTTACCAAGATAGTTCAGAGATGCCCTGTGGATAGCGGCAGCACTGAGGGAGAGAATTCAGCAATATAGTTAGGAAGTCAAACATGGGCATCAAATCTGAAAGGAAACAAAAACAGCAGAATGGGAGAATCAAAAACAAAGCCAGTGGCAAGGGCAACTGAGAAGGACGGGAGGAGGTACAGATTAGGGGCAACAGTTCAGACCTCAGTCAGCCAAAAGAGACTTTGTGCAAGACGCCTCTTCTACACAGTAACATATAACCTTTATTTCCCTCTAAAGTGTTTGATACAGGCCTTTTGGACCCAAACATAATGCAGTCACCGAGCTTTTGCCAAAGACATTCAAATAACAATAGAACAGTTGTTGTTTCATTTGTCTAATAAATATATATGCATTTGTAATCGCTATAACATCACAACTAACAATATTGCTCTTTTTTTAAATTGTTCTTTATTAAGACATCCAACACTTGAAGGTTATGCCACTAGGAATAATTACTAAATCTCTGTTAAATAATTTTTGTTTCTTTTTTGTCAACCTCATGAAGGGAAAATATTCTCAACTAGCACTGACTAGGATAATTTTAGGTTAATATGTCTTCTCCAAACAAAACTTTGTTTATATATATACATATATATATATACACACACATATATATACATATATATGTACATATACAAAACATATATATATATATATGTTTTGGGGTTTTTTTTTGCAGAAGAAGATTTGCCCTGAGCTAACATCTGTTGCCAATCTTCCTCTTTTTGTATGTGAGCTGCTGCCACAGCATGGCCACTGACAGATGAGCGGTGTAGGTCTGTGCCCAGGAACTGAAGCCAGGTCACCAAAGTGGAGCATGTCAAACTTAATCACTAGGCCACCAGGGCTAGCCCTGCAAAACTTTATATTTTATATTGAAAATAATGCCCAATAATCTGAGAGTAACTTGAAGACTCAAATAAAGGCAATGCCCTCTTTTCCAAGGAATGACTGGAAGATAAGAGTATACCTTATATTTGGGCAGATAAGGCAATTTATCTTTTTCAGAACATGAGTTATGAAGAGTGCGGTGCTACGAATGGGAAAATAAGATGGATCACTTTCTTCCATGGACACTTCTATTAAGGATGGTTCAACATCGGCAAATCACTCAATGTGATATACCACATTAACAAAATGAAGGATAAAAATCATATGATCATCTCAATAGATGCAGAAAAAGCATCTGACAAAATTCAACATCGATTTATGATAAAAACTCTCAACAAGGTGACTATAGAGGGACTGTACCTCAGCATAATCAAGGCTATACGTGACAAGCCCACAGCTAACACTGTACTCAATGGTGAAAAGCTGAAAGCCTTTCCGCTAAGATCAGAAACAAGATAAGGATGCCCACTCTCACCACTTCTATTCAACATAGTACCAGAAATCCTAGTCAGAGCAATTAACAAGAAAAAAAAGGCATTCAAAT